ATTTTGAAGCAAATTCCAGACCTATTTTCCAAGCAAAGCTAGATAAAACTCATGAAGGCTTCGAAACCCCATTCCTCCCTTAGATTTACGAGTGCAAAGTTTTTCCCAACTAATCCAATGTGCCCTGGATTCACTATTCTTATGTCCCCACCAAAAGTTGGAGAATAGCTCTACATTTCATGGATCACAGTAAGCGGGACTAGAAACACCTGCATGGCATAAGTAGCCTGAGCTTGGGCAACGACTTTAATTAGGACTTCCTTTCCTCCATACGATAATAGGTTTCTCTTCCAGAGTTTAACCTTCTTTCTTACTCGATCCACTAGATAGCTGAAAACTGCCTTCTTTTGACGTCCAACCACAGTAGGCAGACCCAAATACTTGGAGTGTTGATGCACCACCTTCATCCCGATGATTTGGGCCAGCTCATCCCTGATTTCTTCTTTGATGTTAGGACTAAAAGCAATCTCATACTTCATTAGGTTAACCTTCTATCCAGTTTCTAACTAATAGGTGGAGAGTAGATCCTGCAAGCTTTCACACTCCTGTCTGTTAGCTTTGATGAAAAGCACACTATCATCTGCGAACAGCAGGTGTGTGATGGCTGGGGCACCCCCTCAAACTTTAATTCCTTCGAACTTCCCTTCCCTTTCTGCCTTTTGAATCAGGCACGAGAGACCTTCAACAATGAATAAGAAAAGATATGGGGAAATAGGGTCGCTTTGTCGAAGGCCTCTCGGTGGATAGAAGGTCTCTGTCTGGTGCCCATTAACAAGAAGAGAGTAGGACACTGTTTTAACGCATTTCATAATCAGTGCAACCCACCTCTCTGCAAAACCCAACTTCCTCACGATTTCTTCTAAAAAATGCCACTCCAACCTATCGTAAGCTTTCGCAATGTCCAGTTTTGCTGACATGAAGCCATTCTTCCCTTTAATCCTGCCTTTCAAAGAATGAAAGCATTCGAAGGCAACCATCACGTTGTTTGTAATTAATCTACCCGGGACAAAAGCACTCTAAAACTCTAAAATCACTTCATTAAGTAAACTCTTCAACCTGTTTTCCAACACCTTCGAGTAGATCTTGTAGAGAACCTTACACAAGCTGATAGGGCGAAAATCAACTGCGGTTTCATAAATCCTTGCACCTCTCTCACTAAGTCCTCTCCAAGCTGATAAGGCTATAAGCGTATGATTTAAGTAATTGTGGGAAATCTCTAGTCTCCATAAATCCCTGCACCTCTCTCACCAAATCCTCTCAACCACGACCTAGTTCTTTTGAAAAAACGCTGCTCGCATCCCATCAGCTCCTGGTGCCTTGGGTGGCCCCATCTTCTTTAGTGCTCACCAGACCTCCTCGGCCTCAATCGGCTTTAATAAAGCATCATTCATCTCCTGAGTAACTTTGCAAGGGAAAACATCCAGGACCTGTCTTGAAACACCAGAGGGACCTACAGTAAAAATAAACTTAAAATAGTTAGATAAAGAACTCGCCACTTCCTGTTGTCCCTCCTTGATGCTTCCAACCTCGGCCCTAAGCTTTCGAATGGTGTTTCTATTTCTTCGATCAGAAGCTTTCCTGTGGAAAAACTTAGAGTTCTTGTCCCCACACTTCAACCAGACCGCTCTTGAGCGTTGTTTCCACATTAGTTCCTCTTGGATGATGATTTCCTTAAGTTGTTTCTCCAAAGCATTCCTTTGGATTACAGTAGCAACATTCATCCGCCTTTTCTCTAACTTTGCAAGGGCCCTTTCTGATTTTATGCGCCTAAACTTCAGGTCTCCAAATGTCACTCAACTCCACCCTTGCAACTTCTCCCCGCAGTAGCCAATTTTATCCATAAAGGAACTATTTGCTGCTTCGCTCCAGCTCTCCTTGATAACTTGTTTGCATTGCTCATGATGTTGCCAAAAGGGTTCAAATATGAAACTCTATCCCCACCGTATTTCATCGTCTGCCAGCTTAGTCTTAAGTAGGATATGAGAATGGTCCGATCCATATCTTTTCAAATGATGGACCCTGGCATGGGGAAACAGATCCATCCAGTCAGCATTTGCTACCATCCTCTCAAGTCTCTCCTCAAGGAAAGTCTCGTCTGAGTGATTATTGTCCCAGTTGAAAGGGTTTCCATAGTAACCTAGATCCTCCAAACCTCAATAATCTAGAGCTTCATTGAACATTTCCCTTTCAGTCACATCTAGGAGGTTCATGCCAATATTTTCTTCATAACCTTGACTTAAGTTAAAATCTCCTCCCATCAACCAGGGGATGTCCACCATATCTCTCAATTGCTTTAGAAGCTCCCCCGTGCAATGTTTGTTATCCTGCTCAGGCCACCCATAAATACCAGTGAACCTCCAGTGTTGTTACCCTTCCGTAATGCAAACGTCTATATGGTTTGTCGATTTGGATTTAACCACTATATCAAGGTCCTGCCTCCACATTAATAACAAACCCCCTTGCGCCCTATGGAGCCCATACCTCTCCCCTTCTCCCAGCCCAGGTCTTTCATAGTTTCTTCCCATTCGTGACTCTGTTTTTTCGTCTCCATTAAGAAGACAATATCGAGGTTTTGACGTCGGAGCAACTGCCCCACCTTCCTAATTGCCAGGGGATTCCCCAAACCCCGGCAATTATAGCACAAGATATTCATTGGGCTGGGCGGCTCTGGTCCTTGCCAGAGTTCGCCATATGGCCAACCATATTAGATTGTGTTTGTTGCTCTCCTAGTTTTTCCAATGCTTGTCCATAGTGATCCTTCTCACATGGACTCGAGCTACTTTCCTTTGCTCAGAGCTCGCTTTACACCCTCATGAACCTCTACCTCCATTTGCATCTCCTCAGCTAGTCGCTTTTGGGGGGTGACTTTCTCCACACTTTCTTTGTTTGAATTGCGCCTAGCTTGTGAGAGCCTAAATTTTCTCTCCACATTGATCTTACCCACATCCCCTGCAACCAATGCCTTCTCTCGTGCTTGCTCCTCCATTTCTTCCTCGTCAGCTTTCTTTTCAAACATCCTCATATCCACTTCACCCCCAGGTTCACGTGATTTCGTTAAGACCTCTATTCCATCTCGAGTTTATTCCACATGATCATTATGCTCTACCTATGTTGTTTAAATCTTGCTCCCACCTTCAGTCACCAAGTGCTTGAATTCACCTCGATAGTATTGTTCCTTTATAGATTTCCATATCATCTCGATTTTCTCATGTTCCACTTTGTTAATCCTCGGCTTTGATTGAGGAGGACTCGCCCTCAGCCAGGGACCATAACGGTCCTTAAAATCCTCAGTCTTCTCAGGACAGTATAGCTTGGGGTGTCCAATCCTGCCACATTTATAACAAAACATGGGCAGTCGTTCATATTTAACTTCAAAACTTCTTATTTCTCCTCTTATGTACAAGTTAAGATCATCCCTCAAAGGAGTCATGATGTCCTTGGCCACCCTGATCCCCATTATGTCACTCCATGGGTCAGAGTGCTTTTCATCGAAAAACTGAAAACGGCCAAAGCGCGGTGCCACCTTCTCAGCCATCTTCCTGGACTTAATCTCAGCAAGTATGAACTAAATCTGGATCCAAACTTCCATCTCTTTCATTGTTTCTGCCACTGGCTTTTTATTAAAGTCTGCTTGCTCAAAGATCAACAGGTTGTTGTCGTAATGCCAGGGACCACCGTGCAGAGCTTTGTTCCTGTCATCACTGTGGGAAAATTGGAAGGCAAAAAGTTGACCCCCAATGTCCCGTATCTCAAAAGGTTTGATAGTATGTCAGACTTTCTCTAGCACGCCTTGAAGAGCCCTGACAATAGGTTTTTTGCTAGCCACCAGACGTGCCACAAGCCCCAACCTCAGAACTACCTCACAGATCCCCTCCATCATGTCTTCCATATCCACTACCAGCACTGCATCTTCGTCATTTTTCAGGGTAACCCTCTTGAATTCGCCAGCAAGTTTATCAGACTCCCCTTTCCCCATTTCCGTGGATTATACGTTAGGGTTTGGGTTGCCTTGTTCTTCAACCAGACCTACATCAGTCTTCACCGACTCTTGTTCCATCGCTGTTGATACACCTTACAAGAAAAAACCTTGTAAAAACAAAAACTCTCTATCAATTCTGTAACAAACTAGCTAATGCAGGAGCTCTCACCAGTTCCAAAAAGAAACGCTCACCTTAACATCCCTATATATAGACTCTCGAAAAGGGACCTCGAAATTAGACCCTAAACCTAGAATGATAAGGAAATCACCAAGGACTCCGTTTGCAAGCGTGACAGGGAAAGGAACTGAAGAGAAACACAACGATTAGCTCAGAAGCAGCCTAAGAAACGCTAGAGAACCAATGGTACGAGGCGCCGCCGCCAAGAAAACCCTATCCGAAACTCTTGCAGCTCGAAAGAAAAAACTCTATGAAAACAAATATTGAAATGGAGATGACAGTGGACTTTCGTGGATGGCAATTATTGGTTACCAGTTAGAAAGGGGTTGAAACTTGAAACCATCACTTGCCAACCTAACAAAAAATCACGGTAATGAGTTGGGAAATAACTTAAACCTGTCCGCAGGAAATCCATTCACTAATGAATAGTGAAACCCAATTAGGATAAACCCGATTAATTCGGAAGCAATAGTGTTTTATACTTGCGTTGTGCCATTAATTAACTAACTGATAATAGAGTAGTTTGCAATTAACTAACCCATTCAAAACACAAACAAACAAAATTGTACGAACAGAAATAGAGATGAAAACGGAAATTTGTTACGGTACACATGGTTGTTGGTTGATGGAATGACGTCTTGAGCTCTTGTGCCAAAGAACGATAAATTCAAAGAAACTCCGATAAAAGAGAACAAGTAAATATTTGGATTCCAATCTTGAATGACATTAAACTGAAAATCAAGTACATATTTATAAAGTTACACAAGCTTATTTTTTTCTTCTCACCCAAGGCATTTGGTCTATCTCCTTATATTCTTGCCCCAACTCGAATTTCCTTTCTTCCCTTACAATAAACACTTATTAAATACTAAACAAGACTAACACAACTCCTAGTCCAACTAAAACACTTATAACTAATAATCATAATCAAAACGTCTTCAAATAAGACGAAACATGTAAAGCATTAAATGATACGCAAGCCTAATTAATTCTTGTTCGAAATGCCACGTCGACTCGATCTCGTAACATTCGTCCAGTCCACGCGGAGAGAATTTCCGGCCCGGCTGTGATCAATCACGCGCCGATTGGGAAGAACGTCATTGAGCAGTCAGCATTCTCACTTCTACCTTTGGCGACTCTTGCACGTCTCCAGGTTCTTCTTCACGCCGGCAAGACACGCCTCGCATTCTGCCACCCCGAGGGTCGTACTGCAGGCGGCGGCGCCACGTGGATTACCGGTGGCGTACTCCGGGTACCAGAATTGGGCATAGTACGCTTGACTGTTGGGAGCTGTCGTCTCCAGTGCCGTAAGAACTTGCTCCACGTAATAAGCCCAGTTGGAACCCAGTGCGTCGCCGGCGCCATCGCATACAGGCGACGGGAATTCCGTGCTACCAGCAGTTATTTGAGCGTTTCCAGTCCACGCGCCGCCCAAACATGTGATGACTGCAAGTAGTAGCGCGCCGGTGATTATCATTGTCGACGACGACGAGGGATACTGCTCCATTTATAGTACGTAGCTTGTCAGTCGCCAGCCGGACGGCAATTATATATGAATGAAGATAGCCTCGAGAACTCAGGTTGTATTTAAGTTCGATTTGGTCGGAGGGAGAGAAGTACGTTCTCCGTTTTTATAGAGTGGATTGTTGATAAGATTAATGAGATCAGGCTGTGTGTTCTTAGTTAGGTAACCTAATTCGCTGGTTTGGGCCCAGCGCTCCCGCTCTGGAGCGTTAAAATCGCGGATTTTGGATGGAGCGTCAATAATTCGCGGACTGCTTTTATTCAGAGCGCGAATTTTGTGAGGGAGGACGCGAATTTAATGTATCTCGTGAGAGGCCTCTAAGGTTCAGTGGAAGAGAAAGAGAAAGGCGGCGAGCATGAAAGATCTACCAGTCTCCGTGTCGTCACTGCAGCGAGAGCAAGAAAGAGAGAGGATGGTATTCTGTCGATATATGCTTCCGGCAAGCCGTAACTTGCTCGATTTGGTCCTGATTGCCGGAACACCCCTGCCTCCGACAAGCCGGAACCAGATCCTTACCCTCCCATCCAAAATCAACGAAGCAAAACAACAACTGGAATTAGAAAGAAAAAAGAAACATGCAGAACCCAAATTCTTTGATCTGAATTGTTTATTTATGATAAGTCAATCTGAAATGTTTATAACAAAAATAAACCTCTTGATCCGAGTCAGAGGATGGTCCCGTTCTTCTCCATTTACTTTTTTGGTTCACACGAAAATGAGAATTGAAAAGGGACTAGGTAGCTTCAGTGGAAGCTTTCTTCTCTGACAATCGATTGAATGCCTGAACTGCCGTCGAGATAGCAGTGCATGCAACAGAAAGTGGATGGTAGCGAGAAATTGGAAATAGAAACATAAAGTTGGTTTAAATAGACTGAGCAGATGTTGAAGTCCTATTAAAATAACTCCACTCAATTAGTTGTCTCTGCATATGAGGTTAGGGATTTGAATTTACATAAGAGAGAAGAAAGGAAGACGGAAGGAGAAGACGGTTGGAGAGGAAAGAGAGGAAGTGCTTGTGTGGCTTGGCTTCTTTCTTCCAACTTTTAGTAGGTTATTTTGTGGGCTGGGCTTTAATGAAAATACAAACAATTAAAATAACTCAAAGGACCCATTTCATTAATCTGGCAGGCAACCCAAATAAGATTTGAATCCTACTGGAGCAAACAGACTACGGTTTGACTCAACCTGTATATTTCTAATAGTTTTTTTACGGGTTGTATATATCTAATAGTTATTTCCAATATTAGGTCTTTAGTTCTTATAAAAATTAACTGAATTTATTAATTTAAATTAACAAAATATCGCGCTCTCGTCGCGCTCTCAATATTGAGTTCTGTAAAAATGAGCGCTCTCACGCTCTCGCTCCCGCTCTCGCTCTCGCTCTCGCTCTCGCTCCACGAATTGGTTACCTAAGTTCTTAGTTAGTTTACAAGATTAAGTAAAATAATTGATTATATGCACTTGCATAGATGGTAGGGACGGGACGTGACATTTTATGTGTGAATAAATGTTATTTAATGGTTAAAATTGTAGGGACAAATTAAACGTGGCCTTACTGTTTAGCGGTTTAGCCAATATTTCTGTTTTGTACCGATTATAAAATTAAACAAACCCTTCTTTTGTAGTTTGTACACATATATTTAGCAATTTAAGATAAATACGATTGAACATAACGTTTTTGTCGACAAGTGATGTGATTTAATACAAAAGAAAGTAGACAAGCAAAGTCTGGAAAGAAATTAAGAATGAACCAAGATGAAAATCAAAATGACAAAGCACAAGATGACGAAAAACAAAAATAATGGAAGAAGAAAAAACAGAGTGTAATTTATTAAAGAGATGTTGAAGGGTTAATTGCACAGATTGCTACTTAAGTTCACCATTTGTTGCACGATGATCACTTAAGTACGTTTTGTTGCAATTAAATCACTTACGTCCAATTCTGGTAGCACCATTATCATTTCCGTCTCCATGGCTAACTATAGGTGCCAAAATGTAAATAACCATACCAACTCGGATTGCCACGTCAACTGCAGAACGGTGACTCATATGCGGGGAAACTTCTCATTTTCAGAACATCAATCAGCAACCGAACTGTCAGCCACCCTTTCATAGAGAAAAGAAAACAAAAACAATCATCAAGAAGATTTATTTTGTGACTTACGCATTTTCATTAATCTTGAAATTGGTTTTATGACAAATAGCAAATACCCATTTACCATTTTCAACACATTTTGCACCTAACCCCATTTCTCTTCCTCCTCTTCGATGGAGACAACCATCGTCGCCCAGCCCTCACTTTCTCAATTTCGATTATTGTCTCAATGGATCTAGGCTTTTGAGTAACCAGATCCGCTGGAAGAAAGGGAGAAAGCTGTTGGTAAACAGGTCGGACTCGCCATCACAATGGCGACACTGCACCAGCGTAGATAAGGGTTCTTGCAGCAGAAACAGAGGGATATGATCTAGTTCTCCAACATCACCGCGTCATTCATCAGGATGGAATCGTAATCATCTGCCTCTTCATCTCGATCATCGTGGTCGTCACAAGAACCCCGGACGAGCAGCTCGACCAAGAAGAGGGAATCGAGTGTCGGCGACGATGCCAGAGTTGAATCGAGGACGTCGATGTGGGAATCATCGAACAATGGTCAAGATTGGTGGATGATTCGATTGTTAGGCTCAGAAAGCTGATCATGAAGATGTTTAGAAATTAATTAAGAGGGGTAAAAATAAAATTCGTTGAACGTAAGAATAAAAACAATGTTACATGTTTATTTAGCTGATATTATGCTCAGTAATTCAATTGAATTTAATAATTTCAAAATGAAAATCCAATCCAGAGATACATGGATAGCTTTTTTATTATTGCTGGAGTTTTCCTTATGTTTTGAGTGTTTGGTTTCTTGGTACATTATGATGACCTACATACATTACATCACTTATACTATACTTTAAAGTATTGGTGTTTTAAAGTATAACTTAAAGTTGTCTCTTAACGTTAAAAGTACAAATTGAAATTATATAACAAGTGAATTTTACCTTTTTGTTATGGTACAACTTTAGTGTGTACCATAAAAGAATTTTACAAAAGAGTATACGTACCATAACGTTAACCGTACTACTATAAGTTATGGCAAGCCAATCACATTGCCGCGAAGGAGCGGAGCTAGGTGAGGTGTTGGGGCCCCAGCCCCCTTAAAATTTTAGAACCTACGTGTACGAAATTTGGAAAATTGCGTATAAACAAACAAATATTTATATATACTTAGGTAACCAGGAAAGAATCAGAAGTCCCTTCCCAACCTAGCGAAAGCACATATTACCCTCCCCTCAATTTACCAGAGTTTGAGTTCCAGTGGGAGCAGGTTAGTTGAAATTTTATTTTTGCCTAGTTTTTTCTTTTTTTTCTTTCAAAAATTTTACCCCAAAGTTACTAAAAACAATAGGCTAAATTACACGTTTGGTCACTCAAATTATACAAATCTTTCACATATGCCACCCAAATTACTTTTCTTTCTTATTTGCCACTAACTTTACGAATCGTTTCACTGTTAGTCACCGGCCGTTACACTCCGTTAAATTTGTCCTACGTGGCAGTCAACTATAAAGGTTGACCGTTAACTAGATGACGTGGAAATTAAAAAATAAAAAATAAAATTTTCGTCCTCATCATTTCACTTACTTTGTCTATATAATTTATCATATTAATTATTTAATAAGAATTAATTAAATTTCAAAAATTAATTATCAACCTAGACCAAACGTGTAATTTAACCAAAAATAATATATTACATAATGTTTTCAATTTTTTGTTTTCATTTACCAAGTATTCAATTTAATTTTAATATTTTTATAAGTCAAGACATTTTAAACCACTTTTTCCTTTTTTCTTTCAAAATATTTACCCCAAAATTACTAAAAAAATATTAATTAATATTTTCAATCTTTTTGTTTGCATTTACCAAAGATTTATTTTAATTTTAATATTTTTTTATAAGTTCAGTCATTTTAAACTATACAAATTTAATTCTTCAACTTTCGAATTCATATTTGTCCTTGTTATATTAATTGGGGTGCGCCTATGGTGTCTTGCAAGTCACTCTAACTTGTATTTTTTCGGTCGATCTCAGTTAGGATTAGGTCAACCTAATCTATTGTTTCAGTGTAAAACAGTTTCATGGTGCCTACTTTGGAGATTCATATCTTACAATTGGCTCAACGAAAATTGGAGATTAATGACTTGTTTTGAAGCTGGAGTGTCCCTCTACATATTGAAGTGCTTGGGAGCTCGATAGGAAGTCTACAATACCATTTTCCAACCTGATCAAAAGGCTATGCCAAAACTGGGAACGCGTTTGTGAAGTCTACTTTGGAGCTCAATTCGAGAAGCATGGATGCGATTCGAGTCCAGGGGCCTCTACCACATGAAAGTAGGTATGTTTTTCTACAAATAAATTGCATTGGATGAAAGATTGGATAACTGGAAGGGTTCAAAAAAATAATAATAATAATAAGGCTCGAAGTTGCTTCAAACAAAAGGTTTCAAGCTGTTAGGAAAACAGCCTTCGTAGCAACTTCGAGTCTTTTGTTTGAAGCCTTCCATATATCCATTTTTTCATTCAATGCCATTCCTTTGTAGATAAACCTACCTAATTGCACGTGGTAGAGGCCCCTAAACTCGACTCTCATCCATACTTCTCAAATTGAGCTCCAAAGTAGGCTTCAAAAACACGTTCCCATACTTCATTAGCCATTTTTAGGTAGTTTTCCAGTTTTGGCATAACCTTTTGATCAAGTTTAAAAATAGTCTTATGGACTTCCTATCGAGCTCTCAAGCACATCAATGGAGACCGGTTATAGTGATTACCGTGGTTATTAAGGGCAAATTGGGTATGGCAAAAATTATTAATTACTTTTTTTAACAAAATATATTTTAGGAAGTTACACAAACATATTAAATACAATTCTTTCTCTTTCTCTCACTTCCACAATCTCCAGCCAGATCTCTCTTCCTTTTCTCCAATCATTTCCTTGTTTTCGTTCAGCTGAACTAATATCGCTGCAACAATAAAACAA